CTTGTCTGCTTTTTTTTCAGGCAATGCAGCGCTCAGTGTGAAGCTCTCCCTTAAATATGATGTGTTTCTACCAGATAACTCCTAACTCTTACATTTTAATCGATCCCTTTGAAAGCAATACAGCTTGTGTCTGGAAAAATCCTAATTTTCAGATGCCTGAAAGGCTGTCTTTGTCTGGAGATACTTTTAAAGCCCCAAGCCATTCCCCGATCCTCCTCCTGATACTGTAACTGATGAAGTAGACAGATCTGAACACAGAGACAGCACTGTTCTCAACACACCAGAAAAACACACTCGGCTTAAATGCTCACTTTCGCCTTCCAGGATTACCAAATTAAAGTTATAGTCCATCAGAGTGGGTGGGGTTCTTTTTCCTTAGTTCTGCTGCAGATCAATTTTTGCTCCCTTGGAATAAATTGATCAGTATAAGTAATGAAATTCAGAGTCAAAGTCAGTCTTTTAAGCTGGCCATTTTACAAATGTGGAAACCATAGAACTTCCAACTTTACACTAGTTTCTTCATTCGCTCATCAAACAGTTCAGCCTGCTTGTTCTCCTCTTAGTGCCCAACTTTCCAGAGAATCAAAAGGTTAGAAGGTAATTGTTTCAATAATGGGATTGTTCTCTGAGCATTTCCTGTAAAAAAACAATGACCATACTTTGCCCACTGCTTACAAATAAGAATGGACGTCTTCTTTTAAATGGTGTTCTCCTGAAAAGAACATGGAATTACAAGTATTTGTTTTTCAAATTAAATTTTTTTTACATTTGTGTTTTGCAAAGAAAAATCTTGAATATTGCGGAAACAAAAATTTTAAAGGAATGGAAAGTCAAGTAACATTTCCAAGTATAAAAAGTTTGAAGGAAAAAATGCTTAGCAATAGGCGACAATCAACACTTTATCATCAGTGAAATAAACATGTAAGAGCAGCTATCTGAGACTTGCCTGATCAACAATACCTTCTCATAGTAACAATGTGTCTATAACAGTAACAGTGCCTGGAGGTGGTAGGGTTGTCTGAAAAGGTTTTGGTTTCAATTAATGTGAATCACTTTCACTCTGCTATATGCCAGTGAACAGTAATGCAGAGCTCCTTTTACTACTTAACACTGGCAAGAATTCTAACTTCATGAAAGGCTGAAAGAAAAATGCTATCATTATTTCATATATACATTTAAATAAACATCTAACAAGTACAGGACCTCCAATTACTTCTGAAGTAAACCGCATTTGTCTTGGTTGTTAAGTATATATAACTTTTTTATTGAACATTAATTATTTTTAAAAAGAAAGGAAATAAATAAGATCCCACTCCCCAAAAGCACTGTAAAGTTTGGGCTTTACAATACAGTACCACAAACACTCCACTGTGCTGTGTCTGATCCATCACTGACATTATACTACACGGCCAGATACCCAGGCTAGCGGTCCTATTTTGAATGGCTTACATTGGGTCACAGTGAGGTCATAATAGTCATCCATCAAGATGAATGCAGCACAGCTACTGGAAGCCCAGCCTTCCATGCGTTGTTTTACCCCTATCGATTTCAGCAGTGGCTGAATAACTGAACAGCAGCCATGTCAATGGACATGATAATCACAGTCCTGCAGCCACTACAGCCCCGCTGTAGATGCTATTGAGAAAACGAGTGCTGACATCCCCTTCTCTGTTTCAGTAGGTGTTCTCTCCTGCATATCACCAAGATCAAGCTGTCTTATCTAAGCTGATGACAGCTATACATCTAAAACCCCATCTTATCTCCTCTTAACCAGTGTTTACTTTGACTGCGCTCTGTAAAATGATCAAGCACATATATCCAACAGGGAGAAAAAGATGACGCTTTGTGTCACTCTTCAATATTGTGGTTCAGGTTTCATAAATATGTTGGAAGGAGCAGTTTAGCTCTTCTGCCTGCTTTGCAACTTTAATTTAGTCATTTTTGCATGCTTTACAATGTCTTCCTTACTGTTATCCGTCTTTCTTTCTGTGCTTATTATTTGGAAATGCTGCCTGTTCACATGCCTTCTGTTTTCACTAAAAAAGCAAACTTGAGTAAAAATGAGTAAAATTGTGTCTTTTTTACATTAATATTTTGTTGTGACTAATATTTGGATGCAACTACAGTATGTCAATTTTTATTTATTTGATAATCACGTTCATACATTTCCAACAGGCTGAAAGACCTGGAATGTGCAGTGATTGGATTTGTTTTGCAGATATGAACCATTTGGCAGCTCCTGGTAGACCAGTGAAACTAAAATTAATGCTCAAAATGAATTGTTGGCCCTAAATGTTTGTTTATTTGTACAGTAAATATCTTACTCCTTAATACCAAAAGAGAATTATCTTCTTTCCTTTCCTCCAACGTTAGGCCTGAAGAAGAGAGAAAGCAACTCCATTTACTCTCTCAAGCACAAAGGAAACATCAGTGTGAGAAAGGTCACTTTTCCCAGGCTTTCTCGTTTTTTTTTTTTACTGTTTTGTTTCTATTCTCAAGTCCTTTTATCTTCAAATGCAAAGTTGGGAAGAGACCCTAAAAAATTACATCAGGCCCAAAATGAAAATGTTAAATTCCATGCCAATGTGTTACTTTTTTGATAGCAGCTGGAATCAAAGATGATCAAACAAGGCCTTAGGGGATCTGGCAAAATCATTCTTTTCATGATGACTCAAAAATAACATATCTGAAAACAATCTTCAATCGTATTCTGTAGTTAAGAAATCCACACACAAAAAATGAAAAAAAGAACATATGTATTTATGAAGATTTACACTCTGGCTCCACACGTTCTGAAGTTAATTCAAGTCTTAATTGGGTTTAAGTGTTTTTTTTTCAGCCTGTCTCATACATATTAGAACAATATGCAAAAACATCTGAGTCTACACACGGGACAAAAGAGAAAGTGACTGAGATGTTAACTCTTCCAGAAATATTACTTTTTGAGAGGTTTATAAGCATTACTAATGCAGGAATGGCTTGCACGTGATTTTAACTCTGAGGAGCAGTTCAGCCATGCTGTCTGGTGTGATTTATCAAAGCCAGCAGCTGATGTAAGTGTAAGTTATACAGTACGTGTTTAATTTGATTTATTGTTCATAAAGAGAGTGTGGCTAATACGTTACATTAGCTATGCCTGGAGATCTCTGGTCTGCTTTAAACATGCAAAGTCAAGCAAGGCCAGATATTTCTGATTGTACAAACTGAAGAAAATGAATTATTTGAATAAATTACTAAAATAATCTTTGATGCAAATAAATGCAAACTCTTTCACCTCACATGAGAAGGAAGATGCTTAAATGCAATTAACTAGAAGTAACGAACTTTCACTCACTCCTACATTTCTCATTTTTCATGCTATGAATTGTTCTTTAGAAACTGTGACAAGTAGCCAAATGTCAGCTGAGTGCACTGCATGGAAAATCATTAGTTTGGTTAAGACATACTGATCAATGACTACAGGAAAAAGAAATAATACACCTATTAATACACAAGTAGCATCTAAACCTAATCATCAAAAGGTGCATAATAAAGTGCTGCCCAGCTGAAATAATTTGGAAAGTACTCTCCAAACAAAACATCAATAACTATCTAATGAAATCAAATTACTGTATAGTCTTACCACGTCAGTTCAAAGATTTGATTAACACATTTCTCCACATCAAACTTAAACAAACAATAGCGTTTTTTGCTTTTGAAAGAACATCGGTAAGTACAAATTCAACTGGCCTCATACGCAGCAAAACAATAAACAACTAAAACAATAACACAAACTAAATATATTGTATGCGTTAGATGTTAGACATTCTTACTGAACTTCCCAGTAGCACAGAGTAATATTTCATCAACATGACTAAGGTGACTTTTGAATATTATTTACCCAATTAAAAGTCACTTTTCAAAGTCTCAACAATAGTTGATCTTGTTTGGCAGTAGCATTCTCCATTAAGACAACACTGTTTTACTTATTTCTTCCCCATGTTTTGTTTTCTATGGAATGTTAATATCATTCCATTATTGATGCAGATAAACATATTTATGTTTTTTTAGCTAGCTCTAAGATATTCTTCACTAGATATTTGTTATGAATAATAGTTACAGTATAATTACATCAAGTGTTTAAAAAGTAGGTTGAAGCACAGAGTACAAAAATATAACGTAGGATAGGGATGTTAGGCATTTCAGATAACATTTACGTGCAGGAGCAGTTTGCAGCCTTACCTGTAAAAAAATGTCACCAGCAGCACATTCAAGAAAGCAACAAAAGTTTAGCTGATTACTTTGTGCAACACACTGTATAGGAAGCAATACCTACCACAGCATTTCCAGGTGCCTAACATTTCAATAGCAACAATCACACTGCTGAAGACATCACCATCTGCTGAGCAGTTGAGCGAGTTGATGTTATGGTCAAATGATGTGCGCAGACCATGAACAAGAACTGATCTTCAAACAGGAAAAGTCTACTGTACCATGTTTACATTTATTTCTCAGCAAGGGACATCCTAAATGTCCTGCAACTAATGTTTTTTTTCCATCAATTGTGTGCAACACATAAATGTTTCTTGTGATGTGGACAGCGGTGTGGTGGCTCTGTGACTAAGGATCTGTGCCTGTGGCTGGAAGGTTGCTGGTTTGAATCCTGCGGCCAGGAGAGAGGAATCCTACTCCACTGGGCACCGGAGCAAGGCCCTCAACCCCAACTGCTCCAGGGGCACCGTATAAATGGCTGACCCTGCGCTCTATCCCCAGGCTTCTCTCCCTGTCTGTGTATCTCATTGAGAGCAAGTTGCGGTATGCGAAAGACAAATTCCTAATACAAGAAATTGTATATGAAAAAAAAGTGATCTTATCTTATCTTAAAGTGCATATCACATGCATGGTTGGTGAAGATAGTCAAAACCCTAGGTCACTGGATTCTTCATTCTGTTGGTCTGCTCAGAAACAGGTTGAGTTCACGACAGTTCCACCTCAGCTAGTGTAGCATGAGGAACACTCACTCTTTTGGGGGGTTCAGATCTTCAGGTCTGGTCTCAAAGAAGCGCAGTACATCTTCGCTCTGAGAGATCTGGGAAGGGAGGCGCACCAGGGCCTGTGGAGTAAAATGAAGCAAAAAAAAGCTTTGAGGAATTTGTGGGTAAACATGAGAGAAGGTACCCATTTATACAGCCTCAGTTTCCAACTAGCTACTTGGAAACAGGATCTGTACAGCCAAGTGCTAAATGAAATTAACTTGAAATACTATATCTTTAAATCCATTCTCCTCAGATCATCTGAGATGTGCAAATAAACCAAGCTTTACTACGGGAGTTGTTTCTCTTCTCAAGAGTATTGTGTATGATGCGCTGTTTTACTTGCAGTGGGGCTAAAACTTTTATGTCTTAGGTTAACATGTTGTTTAGATGCCATCTTTAGTAGTAGATATTCAGTTGCTATGGTATTTGTAACACAAAAGGACTACCATCAAAATAATAAGGAGCAGAAAAAATACACAAGCCTAACTAGAGAAACTGAGGACAGAACAAAAAGGACAAAAGTTAAAAATAAAGAAGTTCTGCATGTGCCACATGTAGCATTCTAATTGCAGGAAAGAAATCTGTTTACACAGCATGGCAATCTGAACGTGCACTTCATCTCCAATTTCCCGAGGCTTACAGCCAGCAGGCACAGAGGGGAAAGAAAAATGTGTTTAAGGATGTGATGTGATCAGAATGAGTGTTTTCTTTAGCAAGATGATTTTAGATCTTTAACTTTGCACACTCCAGAAGCCCTAAGTAACACTTTTTTGTGTTACTTAGCAGCAACTAACAATGAAAGAACAAACATTAAAATGTTTTTATTGTGTGCCTAATACGGAGCCAACATAAAGATTTGAGAGTTTTTACTTCCCAGTACTTTTCTAAAAAGGGCTAACACACAGTACCTGCTGCATCAACTAAAATAATCACTTTATATTGGTTCTGTGAGAGGCTGGCAGCATTATTTAAAGCAAGACTGCTCTGCCATAATTGCAATATTTTCTTTTACTGAAGTGGTTGAAGAATTCAGAGTGTATTGGTCATTTTTCCCTTCGTAAGACAATTTTCTTCATGTATGTTAGGCAATTGAAAATTAAAAATGCAGGCAATTGAAATGGCCCACCTTCTAGACTTTGAGCCCGTAGTTTTTTTTTTTTTGCAGTCAGACACATGCCAATTTGAAAAGCAAAGACAAAAGATGAGCGAAACTCAAAATGACAATGGAATAAGGTGGACATGATATTTGACTCATGCCTTACAACCCTCTAAAAGCATTCAACAACCCAAAGCATCCGAAACTGGAAGGAGCAGTTTTAAAATCCTTTTCTAGTTAGAACACTACCTGCTCTTCCTTAATCACATTATTGACCCGAACAGCAGTTGCCTTTTGTTCTGTTTGAAATTTCCATTTGTTCTGCAGTCCTATTAAAAAAAAAACTGATTGAAGATCATGCCGCACTCAGGTACTGTGTAATCTCATGGGCATATATTTTAAAAGCATGAGGGCTGTAGAAAACTGCCTCATTTTATCGATGGAGGTTCTAGGACATTAAAATTTGAGTCTGCTCTCACCTGCACTCTAACAGCAGGAAAAGAAAAATGGCAAATACATTCAGATTAATATTAATAAGAAACATGATATACAGAAATTAGTTGGAATGAACCATCTAAATTAATCAATTTTAGAATTCACATAACTGTAGTGGGAGTATGGTAATGCTGTGTACCCAAAAGCAGAATCGTTCATTTCAGTCTTGGCCACAAGTGGAACTCAGGCAGCACATAGGCTGAAGACAGAAAAATAAACGCTAAATTTAATTACTTAATGATCTCTGCCCAAGAGGCATCCAGATTCAGTAAGGCACTTGAAGCTGCCTTTCCTTCCTGTGTCTTTTTTTAAAAAGTGTTGCATGTCATGAAACTTTGCTTCTCAAGAAACTGCTTCACCAGCTGGCCTGCGCTGTTTGTTGATGTTTGTTTGCATGTATCTTTAAGGATGATGTGGAGCTCACACGGAGTAGATCTTGGCACAGTGTCTAGAGGAAAAGGGGGTGCCTTCAAGGAAAGCAGGGAGAGGAAGAAGCACAAGAGCCTCAGATAGATACAAGACAGAGGAAAACAGATGGTGGGTGATAAGACAATAGCTTGCATTCGTTCAGCTCTTTAAAATTAATGAAATGCACTTTGTTTTGAACATGTACATACATTTGGCCACATAAACCGTGTTTTAAAAGCAAGAATAATACAGTGCATTGTGTTAAATAAAAGAGAATTGAGTGATTATTTAGTAGTTTAGAGGACACACTTTCAAACCAGTGCAATTTGTGACTGAACCCAATAATTCACTATTGTGATGGGACTGAAACCCAGATAATCACAATTTTGTCACAAAATCACACTGTAAATGCAAAAGCAAACGTCTATAGGGCTATGTTTCTTAAGACTGAAGTTATTACTAGTTATTTCTTTCTGGACATTTTCTCATTTTTGCTTCTCTAAGAAAACAAAGTTTTGCATCAGTCTGTTTACATTCACAGAAGGAAATTACAGTTGCCGACACAAGCTTGTTTCCTTTTGAACAAAAGAGTTTCCTATGAAGCCTGGTGGCTAAGATATCACTCAAAACCTGATGATAAAAACAAAAATACTGGTCCCTTCCATTTAATCCATCTTCACAGACCAGAGAACATTTTACTCTAACCACTTTCAATTCCTGTTTATTCTTTAGGGAATTGCTCAAATCCTTTCAAAACAACAGAGGCTGTTGAACTTTCATTTTATTATTTTCTCCCAGTTGAATTATTTGGAGTACAAAATACTGAATTAGACATACCAAATGCTTGCATGTATATAATATTTTCTGCCTGGTATAACACCAAGGTCCTTTACCTTTTCAAAGCATGATGCTGTGAGTGTTAAGAGCATAATTGTATACTTATACATAGAACTTTTAGAAGATTGGCTACTATTTTTCTAATTTTAAGAGCTTTTTTCTGGTATTGGTGTAAGTGATGTATTTTTGATTAAATAAGTTAAACAAAACATCAGAACTCTTCAGATTTGCTGAGTACTCAGTACAGAGTATGCTGTCCTTTAGCAAGTTCTTGGACCAGTTCATCATCAATACACAAATACAGTTAAAAGGACTGTTTCTAACACACAAGTGTTAATTAGTTTTTAACAGCACACATCTGATTGCTGGCTAGTAAAATTTAATAAGCATTCCTCACTGCCTTGTTAAAATAGAAAGGAACCAAGGGAGGGTTTAATCAATAACATTTGAAATCAGAGGCATAAATCTAAAAGAAAATACTGACAGTGTTCTCCACCCTAAAGGTTAGATCATTTTCCATAATACACTGGCCTCTTATATTGTACAGCAGCCTGAGATCACCAGTCTTGCAAAAAGCATGAGAAATGTACTGTACATCATTAATTACTGAAAATCTTTTCCTTCCAGTTACTTTAAAGTACCACCAAGATTCTGAGAGCTCCAAAGTCAAGGAAATCCTGCACAATGCAGAAAACAATCAATGAGTGTCGTACACAAAATCATGTCAGTAACGTGTGTCTGTAAATAAAACCAAGATCTATGTACTCTGTGGTGTGTACCTTCACAAAACATTACCCCCAAAATAACAGTATTATGATTTCCTTTGATCTTTGTTATTATGTTATTTATTTGGACTTAAATTAGTTGCAGATTAATTAAGTATTAGTAACTGCGTTTCAGTATTGACAGACAGAACATACTTTCTTGTTTTGTCTAAATTTCAAATACTTGTGGGTCTCTATGAAAGCATGTAAAATTTGAGTGTAACCCCCCATCCTTTCTGGTAAACGTTAAAGTTACTTTTTTGAAAATCCTGTTTGCTTGTGGCAGAACTGGTGTACGTAGATCCCAGGACGCATTTCATTCAAATGGGTGGCCTAAGCATAAAAAACATCCATCATCTGAGACACCGAAGGGTCGATTCAATTAGCCAATATATCAGCAAGGCTAATTTCACTTCAAGGGAATTATCTGATTCCTGTAAACAGAAATCACAGTCTATTGAAAGATGACCAAATGTTTTGGGAAGAACAACCTATTGCAGTTTTTGCTAACAATCCAGCAAAGCTAAGAGATTTAATTCACTGTGTAAACAACAGGAAATTTACATCTTACACAGTTTCTTTTTAATCTTCAATAAGATGGTTGGAATTTAAGGTTCAAACAAATTTCTTTAATCAGACATTTAAAAACACAATTGTGCCAACAGGCATCATACTGAAGCAGGTCTTATTAGTTGGCTTTACATAGTAGTTTATGGACTATTTATTTAATCTACAAGAAATACCATGAATTTTCTTCTTGTAAAGTAAGAAGTAACAGAAGAGGCAAGAAAAAATATAAAGGAATAAGTCAAGGCTAATTCCATGCTGAAAAGCATGATGAAGAGTACTTCAGGAGCTCTTAAGTGAAAAACAAGTTTTTTCTTTCTAACCTTAATTAACCTTTAATTGTTCCTTTGCAACTAACACAGGCTACCACAGCTCCTCACTCTAAACACATAATAATACCATGACAGACTTTGAAGATGCTGGTTGTTAAATCTATGGTTAGTGAACTGAAGATGTACAGTATGAAATTAAACTTGCATACAACAGCAGGCTGGTAGATTTCTTCAGTTCATTATGCTGTAACCTGTTTAGAAGTACTTGCACAATTAAACAAGGCTCTAAAAGCTTTTTCAATGCAAGGCTTAAAAGCTGGTGAAAGGACGGGAAAAAGGACTGACAATTCAGCCATTGTATAAGGCTAATGAATGAGATACCATTATGTTAAAAATATCATTTCTCAAACATTGAATCATTCAGAAGAGAGCAAAGATTGGCCAAGTAAGAGGAGCCCCATTGCACAGATTCACTTACAAGAAGTACAGTGAAGAAAGGAGACGACGAGGTTATAGGGCCATAGGTTACTGCTGATGGACCCAAATCCCAGAATGAATTATGATCTACACAGCAAGTTGTCCGTCTGATCACACTGTGATATTAATATTGTTTCTTAACTATATAGCCTTTAAATAGGGCACAAGCTAGGTCTGTAATACAATCACATTAACTTTCATCAGAGAGGTGAACAATGTAAAATGAGAATGACATCATAGCAACCTCAGATCATTACCCCATCTTGCAGCATTGAATTATGGCTGGAGAGCAATGTGAAACACAATCACACAAAGTCCACATGCTTTTATGCATCAGTGAACTGGAGCACTAGGAAACTGGGAAAGTAAAAGCACACTAGCAAATAGCTTATTGGCACTCTCATCAGCCTTTTCATCATCTGGGAGGCTGATGAGTTTACAAATATGGTTTACAAAAGAGGGAATGTCATTCTGCCCATCTGACCTGTTTTTTTTTTTGCTATTAGCTAACTGATTCAATCATTTTCACGTTTGCACATATACTCAATTTGAAAGGGCAACTTGATCTACCTGTGGGTAGTCTTTGGGTGGCACATTCCACTTCTTAATTCACTGTACTCAAAGGGGGTCAGTAACCTTCTTCTGATCAGTAACTCTCTACCACTTCCTGGCCAATTTGTTTCCCTTGGTCTTCATGGTAGATTTCTCATTTCACTATGCGAGATGTGGCTTGAAATTCAAGGTCTGTCTGAGGGAACTGATGGGGACAGTGGCATTGACTCCACTGTCCAAACACAAAAACCTCTTGGGTAGTTAAACCACTTTGATCTACATAGCAAAGGGGTTCAAATATTTGCAATTGAAAATGTCACAAATGTCATTTATTCACAGCATTCTTTAGCTTCCTCGGTTTGGAATGAAACGTGTAGATTTGAAATATAAAGTCCTGTTTGAAAGCGTCAGGATTTTAACCTCAGACAGCAACAAAATGTAGAATCTTTGTAGTGGGGTAAATGCTTTTGCATTTTTTTATGTTAAAATATCTTCTATATATATAAGATATATATGGATCCTAACATTCAGGTTGCCTTATTTTTTGTATCCCAATATTGCCTAGAAGATGAAAATTGTACTGTATGGCAACACAAATACCCATGTGTTTTTCCAGGGTAGCTCAGTGTTGCCCCTTTTATATTTGTACTGTTATATTTTGGGTGGGTTGAAAACACCTATAGGAATTAGTGCCCATTTGTATTAGCAAGGAACTCACTTTTTTCAGTATCATCACATACCTCTTCGTCTTTGCACAATGTCTACTTCACTGATGATTTCTTGACCACAACATTGGACTGGTTTTAAAACACCATCAAGATCTGCACACCATAGAGGATGCCAACAGAGATTTTAAGCACGCATAGCACACACTAAACATCACTTTGACGAACTTGGATATAGACTACCCCTTCATCCATAGGTACTGAGAAAACTTTTAGATCATGGTTCCTGGAAATCGCACTATATTTGTTTGACAGTCAGCGGTAAAGATCAGTCAATGTGTATACACTACAGTAAAGGCCAAAAGCTTGGAATCACCCAGGCATTGCAGACACTCTCTGTGGAAGATATTTCCTCTTACCCTGCAGTAGTCATCAATGGGCCGCAGTCTTTTCATGGCAACATCTCTCACATGACTTCGTCGAAAGAGGATTTTACCTGCCAGAAAAATTAAAATTGTTCATGCACCACCGGGTTGAGACATGATTGACTTGAAGCTCGACAGAATAAAATTTAGATCTCTGGATTAATTACTGGAAGGATGTGGTTTCTGTGGTGGTGGCTCGCATAGTGAAATGAGAAATCTACAGATAGCAGACAATAGAGTTGTATCCTTGATCAAGGTACTTTACCTCAGTTGCCCCAGTTCACTCTGCTGTACAAATGAAATGCCAACATTTTTGGAGCAGACACAATGATGGACTTGCACAATCTCACACTCATTAATGGTTTAGGAAGTGGTGTAAAGTTGAGTTTAATTAATCTCTAGGCTAAAGTACTGACATTTTCCTGTAACAAATGTGGCAACCTCAGTGTTAAATTAAGAAAGATTTTGAGTTTCTAAAAATAGATTGCACTTCATCAGCACTTTATCATACAAATCATCTAGCTGCTAATTTTAGTCTGCTGGGGGGTTATATGCGCTGAAAAAATGAACATGACTTGAGAGTAAAAAGCTTTTTCTCTTTCATCAGCAGCTGCATTAGCTCAGGCTGGGTTTGAAATCGGGCAGAGAAGTGTTTAATCTTGTACCAAGCGGTGAACCCACCACAGGTCAGGTTAGAGCACTGATGCCAGAAAAGCAGAATTCTGAAAGCTGAAAAGCTGAGTGACTGAATCAGTTCTTCAACTGAGACGTTTAGATTTGAAGCACTGCCTCAGAAGCTCATGTGGGTGTCCAAAACTAAAAAACTTTGGACAAGCAAAATGGGTAGCTCAAAGAAGTGATGCACTTAACAAAAGAATTTACCTTTGATGAATATATTTGGTAGGCTAAAACAAATATATTGAAAATTATACAGTAAGAAGTATACTTTAAAAAGATGAACGTAAAGAGCTGAAAGGAATGATGCTTCCTCAATCAAGACAATTGTTTGATATGAACTTGAAATCAAAAGCATTATGCAGTGAATATACACGTATTCACGTATTCACTGGATATATACAGTAATGCGGTTAAAGGAAATTAGATTTCCGCCTCACTTCATCCCATCTGGGGGATGCTATGCTTTTGCACACCTTGAGGCAGCATGACATGTTTGAAGTGTGTCCGCCCCTCGCTGACGACTGAGCCTGCTGATTCACACTAGAGTCAAGAGAGGAGCAGGAAGAAGCAAGCTCACAAGAGACCCCTCCTCTCTGCTAATGGCCCTGCTTGGAATCCAGTTAAGGAAGAGACAGCTATCGAAAAGAGGCGAACAAAAACGTCTGTGGAAATGAAGAAAGAAAATTGGCCTTGGGAGTTAACATAAGAACTTGTTGATTGAAGCGAGAACTCTGTAGGTCAGCTGACTGCAATGGATAGTGCAGCTGAAAACAACATTCCACCCACATGCATAATCACATAAAATTTCCATATTAAAATATTATCAGTTGGCTATTAAAAATGTTTAACAACTGTTTTTAGAGTGTAGTGTATAAAATTGTTTTCTACATATATTATTCAATGTTGGCTGCATGTTTAGCTATTCTGGCACAGTACCAGAATACAGAGTACATTTTGGAAATTATTTTCCAAACAGAGTACAAGAGGCTCTGATTATCAACAGAAGAAAGAAACCAGAATTTGTGCTACACTATGTTACAAATAATTGCCAAAAAATGCCAAAACTAGCTGCTTGTTTGTAGTTAGTTAAGCAGTACAGAAAAAAAATAACACTTGTCACACTGTAAAATCTTACTTATGCAATGTTTTAGGCTGCCACTAGATGACGGTGAAGAGTAGTTATTAACCTCAGCTTCTGATACCAGATTTCATAGCTGAACCTGTTACTATGGTAACGAGAACCTGAGAGGGTGAAAGCAGCACAGTAAATTTTAAACTTAAGTTTATTTGTAGTACACACTTTAAAACCAGTTTTCACTAGCTTAGAAGACAATGACTTTTTTTTTTTTACGGGCAAGCACCTAACAGCAGCCAGAAGAAAAGGTATGAAATAAATGCAGTAAGGCAGCTTTAAAAGAAAATTAAGAAATTAACATACCTTTCTCCCAATGTTTTTTACATCATTTGAGCTTTTGAGCAATCTTAATATTCAAGTTGAAACCGTTGCCTGTCTCTGTTGAACAGTAACAATAAAGCTCAACATTAAGCTTGCTGGAAACTAAATATATTTTATGTCAAAGTTCAAAAACTTCACTTGCATTTCATAAACTATGAATTAATATTTAATTACAATAAATAAATATTTAAGTGGGGTTTCATGTGAGTAACAATTTCAGTGTTAATTTCAATTTAAACTTTCCAAACCCACCTATTTGTATTTATTTTACAGGGAGCAGATCGAAACATCAATGCTGAATACATTACGGCTTTTCCCCCTTTTCCACTCTAGCAGGACAGATTCCTTTCCTGAGAGAACACCACACCCTTTGCGGCTCAGAAGATCCAGAGTGAAGCAGAAAGCAATCTGGATCCACACAGGACAAAAATAAATCCCTGATGCTACAATACAGTAACAGCAGCACCGCTGGGGGAAAGGCTCATTCGAAAGACACTTCGGAAAAGTCTAGCAATGACTGGCATGTCACTGTTGATAGTGGCAGATACTAGTAGACAGCCAGGGCCAATGGAGTTATGAAGCCTGACAAATAGCATGGTGTATATTAAACAGGCATTCAAAAATGTATTTAGGTATTTATTTAGCATTGCATTAAAGAGCTTACTTAGCATGACAAATGCATCCCATATTCAGGAGAAGTAAATATATGACATCTATAAATGTATCACTACTTCCACAGTTTGTCTTATTATCCTAGTTGTCAGACTCGTGGCTCTCTAATTGAAATTGGACTATAGGCATTTACTTGATGCCTTGAATGTATCCATTTATTTGTAACACGGAGAGTGCAAGTGATATTTTCTACTTAAAGCGTTTATTTGCCATCCATACTGGCTTATCTCTTGCTTTCAAAAAGCATACCAATTAGTCTTACAGATAAATGATCTGATAAAAGCTTTTGATTAGTAGTGTCACTTTCTTATTCTACATAAGAAACTACTATTTTTTTTACAGATTCCATAAGCAGGAAGTTTGAAATGGTGGGTCTATTTGTACTCAAGCTGAAAAAGGACTGACTGGTTATATTAGTCTGTAGCTTGTATCTGTGTAAACAGTTCTTTGCAATTCCAGAATCAAAGATGGAGTTAACAGACAAACCCACAATACTTAAATCATTTGTTAGGTTATTAAGCTATTAAATTAGCCTTTTATGCAATCATTAGGTCTTATTCATTCTACACAATATTGACAATTAATAACCTAGTGGTAACATGAAACATATGTGGCAGACCTTAATCATTTCCAGCTGCAGACAGTCTACACAAACAACCATCTTCCTAGACCTTGGCTCTCTTGATGTAAAGATAATTTGAACATATATGGAAGGACAGTGGAGCCCTGAAGCAAGCCAGTGTCCTTCCAGATCCCACTTCGTGACAACCCAGTTCAAAACAAGGTGAGCTGAACAGGAAACAGACACAATACAGCTGATATCTCTGGTGGTTTCTGTACTGACAAAATACCAGCAATAACCTCTCACCCCAGCACAGACCTTAGAACACAAGGACATGAGAAATGTTACAGAAAGAAGACCATTTGAACCACCTAGCTTGTTTGTTATTAGTTATTTTGAGCTTTTTATTCAGCCTTTTCTTGAAGGAAAGAAGAAGGGTATCAGCTACAGGACTGGGTAGATTATTCCAGAATCTCTTAATTCTTTATGCAAAAAAGTTACTCCTGTTCCCTGTTTCTAAAGCACTTTCTCTTAGTTTCCAGTAGTGGCCTCTGGTACTTTTTTCACTGTTGATTCTGAAGACGTCCATGATGGTGTCAGTGCCTTTGAGGATTTTGAGGGTAGAGTCAAGCAGAGTAGAGTCTTTATTATCCCCAAGGGGCACATTGTTCTCCCTACATATCAGTTATCAGCTTAAGACTAAAAATATTCAGTTATTTAACCTGTCAGAGTACGACTTTAAACCCAAAAACTGGTTGATCTTCTATGGACTGATGCCAAAAAAGAAATATATTGTTTCAACACACTGACAAAAATTATACACAATTTTGTAAAAAAAAAGTTTTCCACAGGTGGTTCCTTCACATTTACTGTTTCATGTTTTTGATACCTGCATGTAACTCTGCAGCTGTCTATTTTAAATGAACTACCCTGTTCACCCAGTTTTGAACTTTGTGCAATTATATCTGTATTTCTTGTTCAACTTCTATACAGTTTGTGATTCCTCTTATTTGATATTGTGACTAATTAACTACAGCCAGAATCTAGATCACTGATATAAATATGGACCCCTGAGGTACTCCATGAAGTATGTCATCATTATTCTTGTGGTTATAGCTTATCTGTACTGTTTATGTTCTATTTATTAGCCAGTTCTCAATCCACCAACATGCAGTACCTTGAAAGCAGATTAATTTGACAATTAATCTCTTGTAAAGAATTTAATTAAGGGTTTTCTGTAAATCTATACATACCACCATGTCATATGCTCTGGTTGTATCCATTGCTACTATATTACCTATTCAAAGAACTCTACACATAAGGCAGATATTGTTTAACCTGTAAGTTGACTATCCCATTGATTCCTATAGCCTACAAATGATTCTCCAGTTTTGTGCTAGTTATTGTTCATATAATCCACATTTAAAATAAGACTCATTGGTGTAAACTTATTTGATTCAATGATTTGGTTTAGTCATCCTCCTTACGGATTCTGCACAACCTGAAAATTTCTGCTCAATGGATTTGACCCAGGATCTGAGTGTTGACACTACTATTTCAACTCTCCATTTATCTTGTATAGGAGTGACAAGATTCAGATATTCAAGCAAAACTCTAAAGTTAGAACCTAGAAAAATGATGGGCACCGAAGTATGCAAAATGTCCACAGAATGCAGAAGCATATTGAGACTGTAATTCGATCAGAATACTTTCTCTCAGCTCAAGCCAGCAGTCCAGGAACTCTAAAAATATATCTTTGAAGGGTGTTTGAGAGACATGTGATTGGGCATGTATTTGGAGTGCCTTCTGGAGTGAAACAAAGCATCACACACCACATGAAACAGCCTGATTGACAGAGTAGTACCAGCAGGGAGAAAAACTGACAGCTCACAGGGCTCACAGAGAGGGAAAGGTTTAAAATTCACCCCTTTTTACACAAGATGCCAATATTAATGACTGGCATTACGTGTCCAATGTGGAGGCAGGGCCCTGGTAGAAGGGCGATGCCTCGCCTTTGTAGTCCCGGCTGTCCCGGCTTCCAGATGATGAGCCCCAGCTGGGCAGGGCCTATAAAGGCACACTGGACACCCTCCAATGGGATGAGCAGGGCCACCCCCAGAAAGGAGGAGTTTACATCGACAGTCCCGGAGGGAATTGCAACCGCGTAAGGTTTTCTTTTTCTTTTTACCAGTCCCATCACGCACTTTCACCGGGGCAGGCATACACACGCATTTTAGTTATGCAACAGCTCTTGTTTTGTTATTCTCTATCGCGCCCTGTTCACCAGACTGGACCCTGCTAAATAGGGTCACTCCAGTCAGGTCACCGCTGTGCTAGCAGCTCTTTTATTTCCCCCACACTGAACCATGTTAAATAGGGTAAGCCCAGCCTGGAGGTAAAGCAGCACAGCGGTACTCTTTCTTTTTGCCTTTTTGTGAGTTTTTCACTCTTTTTGTATTATGTCTTGTCCCTGCTAAGCTACTACCGGTGCTTCTGTCCCCTCACCCGGAGCATTGACTTTTTACCAGTGCTCACCGCGGCGCCTCCTGCTCCACACTGTCACAGGACATTCAGTACTGCTACAAATAGCAGGGTTAAGAAAATAGAGAATTACTGAAAATACCAAGCGGAACAATCAATAACTAAAATAAATAATCGTAACCTCCAAATTATAAAGATATGCCGAGCATAAATCGGAGCACTTGGCATAGTTAGAGGCACCTGAGATCTTTGTTCTCTGGCACAGCTTTGGCAAAACACTAAGGCAAAGGAGTAATACATCGGAGGCCAACTAAAATAATTTAAACTAAACAACATACAACACACTAAACAACACATTACATATGGGATACCTTATTTACAAACAAGGTGTCTCAGACGCCTACATCCTGACCAACAGGAAAACCCCAGATTGCTACCAAGTATTCAAAATCCTATATAATGCCTAGCAGGCCAACAAGAGAGATAAACCTCCCTTCTAAATAAACAGAACACAACCAAGTTAAATCTGTCTTCCAATAGACACTCCAAACTGAATAGGACCTTATCTCCCTACTTTAAAAAATGTATCCAATAACCAGGAGAGACCATTTGTAATCTAGGGATTCTTTAAAAAGGAAATCAGAGTTTCCCAAAACAATGAATGGAAAGCTCTCTTAAGCTTCAAATACTAAACTCTTGAAGGTGGATCCGAATAAGGACCACTCAGCTGGCATATGCTTTCCCTCTCCTCTGTGAAATTCTCTATCTTTTTATCCTGTGTTCCAGGACTGTTGATGACTCTTAATTATTTACGGGTAGCTTAATTAACTAAGGTAAACTAGAGGATTCCTTTTGATCAATGCATCTCAGACTACCTACAGCTCAGCCAACACCTCAGTTTCTACTTCTTGCTTTGAAGCAGAGAACTGCAAATACTGGCCCCCAAGATTATTGTCTCCACATCCTCAACTAGCAACTTCAATAGCTGTAACGATCAGTAAAAGAAAATTAAAGAGGTAGTTTTCGGTACTAAAATCATTATACATTTCTAAACATTTAAAGATATCCTGTCTTAGAATCTTTACACTTATTTGAGCTCTGTTAGCAGGTTTCAACCAGTCTAGAGATTTCAAAGTGAAGTACAGTACTTATTTAAGGTAGTGACTCGCAGGTAGAGTGCTCTGAATCATACACTATGAAACTTCATGGAGTACAAGGGCATTACAGTGTCTGTGACTCAACGTATTCCTATTAAGGTGTTCAGTCATAGCTTCAGTGACAGAACTTTGAAGCCAGACCTTGAGTTTTAACAAGTGCCTGATTTTCATAAATTAATAAAATAGCAAAGTGACATACACATGCAGTGTCAAAGCCCTTGGGTTAATTAATTCATGAGTTCTTAATGTCTCAGAATTAACAATCACTTGCCAAAGACAGAATTGCTAGTACATCTTGCAAAAGTCTTTGGTTAAGTGCAAAAGTCTTTGGTTTAGCTTATGTGTGGTGAGCGTTCTGGTACACTAAGGGTCATCCAGGTGGGGCTCCACAGGTGGTGGTGGAGGGGAGTCCCAATTACCTGTAAAGCGCTTTGAGCCGAGTGACCAGAACAGCGTTATATAAGTGTAAGGAATTATTATTATTAAGTCTGGAAACTCCCCCTGATACAGTACATCTGTATCTACCTGAATTCCACCATCACCAATGTGTTTGATAACTTCTTTGATAACTAATATGAAAGGGATGTGTTCATTTGATATAGTAGGCAGAAAATTCAATAGTGCTCATCTTCAGTGCTTTGTAGGAACTAAAGATCTGCCACAGGGATTTGTCCTGTAGAAGTAATGGAGAAGACTCCCTTATTTTTTAAGATGGCAGGATAATCACCTCTCATTCATCACTTGAATTAATTCAGTATCTGTTTAAAGGACAGTAACAAAAATGATCAATCTTCTGTTTGTTTTGACCTACATTTTTAAAATTTAAACTTTACCTGGACAAATCACAGCCTCCCAAAAAGTAAAAAAAACCCTCAATGTTAATGACAATGATTTAAATGACAAGATTTCTAAAAAAATAAGTAATGATTGGATCCTTCATGTGCATACTAAGGTGCAAAAAACTGTAAAAACTATGTTTTAGTGTATTCACATATGACAACAGGTGATAAAAAACACAACTGTTTTAGTGCAATACAGTCTTCAACCGTCAGTGCAAGAAGAAAGTGAGTAACCACCAAGTTCACCACAAGGAAGCCACAAAAGAAAATCATTGCTGCGGTCTGTGTACTTTCTCACCTGGCAGAAAAGGGATGATACGCTGCTTGGGATCCTTCTGGCCTCCCTCAATGGGGAATTTATCCAAAATCTGCATCTGGCGAAAGAAGATATACAACAACCGTTTAAGAATTGCTGCACGAAAGTCAGTATTTTTGCCATTTTCCATACTGAAAATGCATTGCCCTACTAATTTTTTAAATCAGAGGATGGAGTTTTTCAATGAGAACTCAACTCAGAAGCTTAATGTATTTTTTCAAGCTTTTTACAGAAAACCTTCAATGTATCAATTCTTTTCAAGACATCACGTCCACCCGTTCTATTTTTTTTGTTTTTCCGTTTGACATGCAGTATAAAGAATTTGATGAGACCAAACCGTAAGTTTCAGAATAAAAACTAATACCAGCCATGGTCACAAATGGAAAAAAGGCTTCCTTTTAACAAATACACGCAAGAGGGGTTTAGTCCAGTAAGTGCTTTAGTGGTTG